GGAGGAGGAGGAGGAGGAAGGACAGTTTGCAAAAGGGACAAGGAGATGAAAGGGGAACAGAAAGTAATGAAATCGCGTCTTTTGAACAAAGGGGGGTTCTTAACCACACCATTAGAACAAAGGGGGGAAGACAAACCAACGGGGAATAATATTGCTCCTTTTGTCTCCTTCCTTCCTCCTACTGCTTTTCTTTTCATACTACAAGAAGGATCCATCAACGATCCGCCGGCCGTGGTCGTCAAGCGGTTACGGATGCGCCCAACATATACGCGTTACTCTCCCAACAATGCGGCCAAACCAGTCGGCGACGATCACTCCAGTTGCACCCCGTGGACCCCATCCAAAAAGGTAACATCCTTGGTGCTTTCTCGTCCATGATTGTTTAGAGTTTTAATAGAAAATAAAAAACGATTTTTCAAGCCACAAAGATCCGCCATGATCGCGTGCAGCGTTCCATTGCTGCATGCACCATCTACTTGGAAATCAAAATAACACAGTTTGTAGCAGCATTAGCATTTGTTGTCATTGCATTGTTGGGTTTGCCCTCAGAGCCAGTTTTTGTCCATTTGTAAAAACCAAAGCCCCCAAAAAAAATCTAAACATAAAATATTCAACAACTACCTTCGCCGCTCCCTTTCAAGGGCTGCGACGGCTTCCCTGACGCTTCCCTTCCTAACCGGCATCTCTCCATCAGTAATAACTGGTCTGATGGGTCTCCCTTGTGAGGCAAGCGGTGTTTTAATGTGGGCAGTTTGGAGAGGTGGTTTGGGCGGTCGGGGAGCATAGGTAGGGGGCAAAGCCATGGATGGGGATAAACCAGATCTAATATTACCATGTGTCGCCCGCGGGATATACTGACTCGCAGATGAAGAAGTCGAGGTCGAGACCGTGGAAGGGCGACCGGTGCCGTACTTGCGGCCCATCGAAAGTGTTCCCTCTCGTCTAACAAGATTCGAGGTGATGTGATGTGACAGTGGCTTGGGTGGTGAAGGTGTCAGAGGTGAATGCGTATATGTCGCTGTCGGCGTTGTCATGGGCGATGTGTCTGCTGATGCCCCACTGGAACTTGTATCCCCATCTCCCTGCAGGAACTTGAGATCTATGGGTGTGGCCTCAGATCTTGCCACGGACGGTCGTCTACTCCGTTGTATACGGGATCGGGTCGGGGTTGTGCTTGAGGGCTCGTCGGATGGCGGGGTTGGCAAGAGACTTACAGATGTAACAATCTGAAGAGGTGGGGGTTTCTTGGGTGATGAATCAGGTGAAGGGGATGTTATTGAATGACCTCGCATACGCGTCAGTGTTGCTGGTGAGGCCTGAGTGGCGATGCTAGTGACAATCGAGAGTGATTCGCTGGACTTGACCGCCGCTGGTGTTATACTTGTGTGGGATGTTGGTGCTGGCAATGGAATATGCGGTGCTGGTGGTGCTGGTGGTGGTCGAGCGGCTGCTGAAGATAATGCTGATGGTATTGGTATCTCAGGCTGAACACATGGCTCAATGTCCGTTTTCGAGCTTGACCCGAGCGATGTGACCGTTCTTGTCGCTATCGAGTCATTCAATGTGTCTGGATCTAATGGTCGTACGCTCGCCGCGGTGGCACGCGTAGGGGGCAAGGACGGCGGGGAGACCCGGCGAGGCAGCAGCGATGGGGCCACGTCTGCCAATTCTGAGTGGGATGTCCTATTTGGGGTGGAAGGTGGTGACGTTATTGATTTCGCGGCCGGTATCGAGGCTGATAGGTCGGAGGTGCTGCGTCGCACGAAAGTAGGAACGGGAAGCATTGAGACTGGCAAACTATCTATGCTTCCATGTCGCGATGAGCGTGGCGACGTAAGGCGGTTTGTGGGCTCCGGTGGCCTCTCTTGTGTGCTTGATATGCGCAACGGTGTGGTTGGTTGACTGACTGCCGTTTTGAGTTGGTCTAAATCGCGCTCTGTATTTCTGGTATCGGCAATTCCATTTCGTTCCGATAGAGAGACCAAAGTGATAGGCATGTCTTTGGTCGCACTCTCAGATTTCCCTTCGACAACGGCTGCTGGCACATCCGCGAGCGCGTCACCAACTTTACTAGGTGCAGATGAGATTTCATCCGCATTGCCAACGTCTGTTTCATGCGGAACTAATTGTTCCACGGGCTTGGGCACCTCCCCGCTTATGCTTGCTAGATTTGGCAAGCAACTTTCGTCCGTCTTGTGCGCTGCAATTTCCTCTATATTCTCATCAGCGTCTTCGGGTTCTATCTCATCGTTTGGCTCTCGAATTTCTACATCATCATCGTCCCCCAGGCTTTCATAGTATTCCTCGGGGGGTGGGAATCTTTCCTTGAGATCTGCGCATCAAATCAAAACGCAAATTAGTGGGATGCTTTTGAGGCGAAGAAGGATTGCGATTATTCAACCATTACACAAATTACGTACCGCTGATGATCTGCAGAATCTCGCCAGCTTTCTCTTCCAAAACAATATCTTCTGGCGCTTCTCCATCATTATTTATTGGTATCAATTCGATCGGCCCATCAGGTGGACAGAATACCCATTCATCATTTTCCATCCACTGTACTAATCCGACGTCCCTTGCTTTCCGCTTTCCACCTTTCTCGCTTCTCCCTTGGCACGCTCCCAGTAGCCGCACAACATCAACGTGCCCTTCTGCACAAGCGCAATGGAGGGGTGTCCAACCCTCCGTATCTCGCGTGTTAACCAAAGTCGATGTCTGTTCTAGTAATAGCGCAACGATTTCTGTTTGCCCATGGGTGCAGGCTTGGTGTAGTGGAGTCAAGCCCTTCTGGGGAGTGAAAAGGGTGTTGATATCGAACGTTTCATGTGAAATGCATGACTTTACGGAATTAAGGTAGTTGGGGTCTTCAGAGGCACCGTATTGACATAGATGGAGCAACAGTGTGGGCGGGTCGAATCTTACAGATTTCTTCTGGACATTCCGCTCCTCAGGTCTAGTTCTCGGGAAGCTGGATTTGCGCGGCGTTGTTCTGGGTGACTTTTTAGAGGCAGAGGTACTAATATTTACCAGTGCCTCTTGGGTCATCTTGTCCACACCAACGACCACCACGTTGGCACCGGCCATTCCCTTCCCGAGCCCCAAAAGAGAGCTTGAGGATTTTATAGACGCTAATTTTTCTTCTGGCGATATTACAGCTGAGCTTGCTGCGATACTCTCCAAAATTGATTTGCCTTCATCCACTGATACACTTTTCGTATGTCGGCCAGATTCCTTGTCTTCCGCAAAGATCGGTAGACTGACTTGTTTGTCGAGCGGTGCTTGCTTTGTTCGTGCCAAGTTCTCCATAGAGGAGAATGTTGGTGGCGAATTACTTATCACTACCGACATTGGTGGGGGTGGGGGTGCAACTGTAGATTAAAAAATGTAAGGCATATCATGGGCTACCATACAAAGTTCGCTGGAAAAAGACACTCATGCAGCGCACCTTCGTAATTATTCCCAAACATCTCTCTGGTAACATCGTCATCCGCACAATCCACTGGCATGTAATTTCTCTCATTCTTCTTCCGACTTGCCGCTCCAAGTTCCAACAGTCTTTTCACTAGTTCGCTCATACCCTGAAATGACGCCAAGTGCAAGACAGTATTGCCATTGCCCCAGACCCGCCCCATGAATTCATATAGAACTTTGCGCGACTCAATCTCTTCAGTTACGCGGGCAACAAATTCAAGAATGTCAAGAGCAATGTCCTCTTCGTTCAGAACACAGGCAATTTGAATAGCGTTAAGTTGGGAAATGCTGCGACAATTGGAAAAGAGTGTTTAGGCGATATCTTGCAATACGCGCCATAAATGGCACAGCAGCAGCTGGAGTATGCCAGTACGGGGTGTCAACAAACCTAGGTCCCAGCAATTCTGCTGCATCGTTCAGCACCTCTTCGTCAAGTTGATAGAAACCATCGGCGTTCGGATATGTTGTTGTCAACAAGAGCTGAAGAACATCGGTAGGAGCCGGATAGTTGGCAAATAGATCCAGTAGGGTATCTCTGTCATCGTCATTGATTGCCGTAAATATTATACGCTTCAGTTCCGTATCCCGTTCCAAGGCACTGCCTGGAGAGCTCGCGCTGATAAGGAAGACGTGTTCAACATGCGATACCGTTAAGAGCACGTACCTTGGAAGCCAGACCGGAGAGACAGTGAGTCACTACTACTATCTCTACTGTGCGTTGAAAATGGTGATGCTGGACGCTCGTAGGATGGGGACACTAGGGTCGGAACGGAAGAGGACAACCGCGTGGATACGCTTAGGGAGATAGGAGAAGCCATATCTTAGGAAAGTCATATAGTCATAAAGAGCTTCGCGTGAATAAAATGGCAGCAGGGAAATAGGCAGCAAGATATACAAAGGGCAACTAGGAAGAATTAACGGAAATAAGTTTGCAAAACCGTGTTGATCCTCCCCGGAATGCACGTATTACGTAAGCTACCTTACGGCAGCAGATCCCGTACAAATACGCTAGTTCTAGGAGGATATCTTGAGCGCAGTCATTTAAACAGGGATATGACTATCATCACGCTTCAGAATGCATGCAATTCAGTTAATCTCTTTGAAATTATGTAAATACCAATCAAGCCAGCTGTCCTGGGGAACCTTGGCCGGAATTTTCGGAAAGCTAAAGAAAAAAGTTGATCATGCATAGGGTCTTAATGTACAAGCATGCGCACTCTGTTGCTAAACGGTTCGTAAAACGTGGTAGGGCTGTATTCCGACACATGTAGTCGACAGCGCGGATCGGAGACCTCCGTTCGGCTAATCTGATGGAGAGGATCGCGTAAGCACTTGTGATTGGTGGCTTGGCGATTGCTTTCAAAGCGATCTTGCTAGAGATTCGTCTGAACATGCTCAGATCAGCAGGCATGCGACCACAGCGGATAGCTAGGCGCACTTCCACTCGTCTTTGCGTGGTCCCTGTTGACATTGGGATCGGTTATTTACATGGCCCACTTGTGCCACCTTCAAACAGGATAGCGACTCCCCTTTGTAGATTTCAACAGTACACCACCAAAAGCACCTTTCCAAGAACAACAGGACCGGCATCGCAGTCGGCAAAACAGCCGTGGATCCGACCGAGAAAGCCAGTCAAGAACAACACACCCAACGACGACATATTTCCAGCAGATTTCGAATCTCAGCTTCGCTCTCTTAACTTGCCCGCCTCGATCCCTTATCTCGATTCCCCAGAAACTCAATCGCCATATACATACCATGAAGAAGCTACCATAACAATATTTGCCACAAGCGACAGCGGCCATGGATTTGGAGTTGGTAAGGACAACTGGCTTATTGCGGTACCGTCAGTATTGGAAGGGGAGGAGGTCGTTGTAAAGATTTATCGTGACGGGTTGGGCTTCTCACTTGGAGAACTTGTGAGCGTTCAAAAAGCCAGTGAGTTGAGGACAGATGCACAGTGTAAATACTTTGGAAAATGTGGAGGGTGTGGGCTTCAGCACGTGCAATATGAAGAACAGCTGCGAAGGAAACGGCGGACAGTCCTGAGGGCTTTTGCAAAGTTCGCCACAGAGCTGGGCATACCAGAAACTCAAGACAACGGTCTTGTGTCCTCCGTGATACCGTCACCTCTTCAGTACAACTATCGCACGAAGATGTCTCCCCACTACGATCGGCGAAGACCCAACGTGCCGCTTGATGGCATTGGGTTCAACGAGCGGGGCCGAAAGTCAATTCTTGATGTTGAGTATTGCGCGATAGCGACAAAGGAGATAAATCAGCAATACTCGAGGGCTAGAGCGGCTTTAATAGGACAAGTGTCACCGACAGCCGTCAATGGTGCAACCCTCCTTTTCAGGCATACCTTGATACCCCCAAGCAATTTGAATGTGAAAGAGCTGCGGAAGGGCCTTGTTGATAAGTGCCATGCTAGCAATGAGACATTGAAAGACGGCGTATCTGCAGAATGGCCTCCAAAAACGTTCAAGTCGGCAGCCGTTGTAGCTCATCGAGCGCCCGTTCTTGATGTCGTAAACGGTTATATCTTCCAGTATCCCGCCAACACCTTTTTCCAAACCAACTCTTCAATCCTTCCACATCTTACCGACTACATTCGCTCCCAGCTTCGCCAGCACAGACATCATCCGAGCTATCCTCCGCTATCTACCCTTGTTGACGCTTACTGCGGATCTGGTCTTTTTAGTATAACCGCTCACAACGACTTTAGTCGAACGATCGGTATAGAAATCGAAAAAACGTCTCTTCATTACGCCACTCGCAATGCAAAAGTAAACGAAGCCCGCAATTGCTTCTTCTACGAAGGCGACGTGAAAGCCATTTTCGATAGCCTTCCTGCGTCACTAAAGTTGGATCCAAATGCGACGGCAGTTATAATTGATCCTCCTAGTAAAGGTTGTGGACACGATTTTTTGAATCAGCTGTTACGTTTCGGGCCCAGGGTGGTCATATATGTCAGTTGTAATGTAAAATCTCAAGTCGAAGATTTGAGATACTTGATGCGAGGGGCCAGAGCCGGCGTTATCCCACCAGCTACTACCGGGAAAGATATCGACAACTCCCAAAAACATTCGGAAACAGGAGCTAACAAAACCCTATATGTAGGTGGAAAGAGGATTGAAGTAACGTCGACGGGGGAGTACAGGGCTGTGGATGTTACTCGCATTAGCGCAGCAGATGGTGGTGCAAAGATGAGCCCTGGACCATTACGGGCGCCGGTAAAGCTATCGCATAGAGGCAATACAACCGTGAA